CACTCACTCACTCACACTGACATGATTGAAAATCCTGTAGATTAAGCAACTTAATCATCATTAAGACAATTCTCTGCCACCATGATTAAGACATCAAACCAATATAAAACAAGCAATCACACATCCATAATTAACATTGACAATATACACATCTCTTAATCACAGCAATAAATCACTTCAAATTTACCCAATGAAACTAACATGACCAACCCTATTTCGAAACAACAAAATAAAACCCACGTCAGAGTTCTAAATAAAAAACAAACCTTGACGAAGTTTCCAAGAGTCTTGGTAGATCCTCTGGATGATGTGAAAACATCATCAATCCCGGCAAACTGAAGCACCTTCTTTGGAACCCTAGCAGCAACGATCCCAGCTCCACGAGGGGCAGGAACCATTCTCACAGTTACACTTCCACACTTCCCTGTAACCTTACAAGGCACAGTATGTGGCTTTCCGATCTTGTTTCCCCAGTACCCTCTTCTCACAGGAATAATCGACAGTTTAGCCAAAATAATAGCCCCGCGAATGGCAGTAGCCACCTCTTTAGCACACTTCACACCCAAACCAACATGTCCATTACAATCGCCAACTACAACAAAGGCCTTGAACCGGGTTCGCTGACCGGCTCTGGTTTGTTTTTGAACTGGGGTGATTTTCATCACCTCATCTTTCAAACCAGGGCCAATGAGAGTGTCAATGATTTGATACTCCTTGATGGGCAGGGAGTGAAGGTAGATTTGTTCAACGGAGGATATTTTTCCGTCTTTCACAAGGCGGCCTAGTTTGGTGACGGGAACCCATTTTTCTTCTTCCTCTTTGCGTCCACCGCGGCGGCGGCCTCGGCCACCACGGTCTCCACGTCCACCACGGCCACCGAAACCACGGCCGAAGGAACCACGTTCTGCGGGGGGGCGCTCTGCCATGATTGCTGGTTCTGTTAAACGATAGAAATTAGGGTTTCGAGAGAGAGGCAGATGCGGAAGGAGTGTTGAGAAGAAGGGTTTTATAAGAGAAGGGGAGAGCTAGGGTTAGTGAGGGAGAAGTTAATGTTTGAGGTAGTTGCTAAACTTTTCCGTTTTAATTATTTTGGTACCTCAAATTAAATCTTGCTTAATTGAGTTCTTGAACTACATGTGGAATTGGAAATTTTATTTTTATACTGATATTTGTTTGGTATTCTAGATTTGCTCTAAAATTCAAAACATTTTGCAAAATCGGATCCTCCATTGTTCGTTCCACCTCACGAAGATCGATTTTTCAGTAAAAATCATCATTTCAAACGAGCCCTTCTATTCGTGATAAAAATAAAGATCATTTAATTATATTAAATTCAAGAAAAATAAAATTGTAAAATCCATGGAAAATTCGAATACCTGATTATAATTATATTATTGATGATTTATTAAAATAGTTTCCTTTGTTTCCTTATATATATATATATATATATATAAGAAAGATTTAAATTTTCTCGCATGACTTTAATTAAAAAAAGCATAAAAAAATAGATTTGGAGAGAAGAAGTAGAGTCAAAATAAAGTTTTAATTCAATTTAATTACGATAAATTATAGTATGGAATTGTTTACAAATATTCTCTTACCAATTGGGTCCTTTAAAGTCCCCGAGCTACAAGCTGCTGCTGGCATGGATCAATAGTTCGAGACCAGTGAGCTTGACGATGATCCAAACATGGTCTTGGGCAATATTCATCAGATTATGGCCTCCTCATAGCTACGTTTGGGCTTATCTATTGAGATGTGATTGTTTTGGGCCTCTGGTAAGTACATTGAGGCCCAATATATTATTTAAGCTCAATAGATCTGGAACCTGGCTGAAAGCCCAAGTACTCTTCTTTCCTTTCTATCTTTCCCTTTTCTTTTCTTTTCTTTCCTTTTTTTATATTTTTTTTGTTTTATTTACAATGACTTTTTTTTCTAAAGTATTCAATGTGGAATTAAAATTCATTTAGTAATGTAAGCATATAAGCCAAGCAGGGGAAATGGGTTAAATGATAGGCTTTCCAACGTTATTAAGAAAATAATTACTTTTCTCCATTGTAATTAGTATACAAGTCAAAATCCTTCAAATGATTATTATGGATTTTTAGTTTTTTTTATTTGATAAAAAAAAGTCTGGAACACGGGACTTTTTAAGATGATGGGTTGATCTAAAATAATAATAATAGCTTTTATGTTGTTTAGTATTATTAGTGTTTGAGAGTATTGTAATTTTTGTTCTAGAACATGTTTCAAAAATTTGCTTTATTTTAAAAAAATTAGGCTAATGTAAAAAATAAAAAAAATTTAAAAAACTATTTTAATGTATTTTTAAATAAAAAACTCACAATATGCTAATCACACACCATTTAGTATTGTAGTAGCTTTTTTTTTTTGTCATATTATAGAAAAAAACTATTTGATTAGTCAAATAATTCTATTTTTACATTGAATTACACGGATAATTGCATATTAATTTTTGATTTTGTATAATTTAAAATAACTTATTTTTATATATTAAGATTTATTTTTTATTTATTTTGCATGCAAAATTCTATTTCACAATAATTTTAACAAGATATATATTTTTTAAATTAATTCTTTTATATATATATATATATATTTTAAATACGGTAACAAACACACACTAAAAGTCATATTTTTTACCTCTAACATTCCTCTCTTTCTAGACTGGGCATTAGCCCCACCTCCCACCCCTATATTTCACCTGTCCCGTTTGCTGGGATACCATTTATCTGGAAGTATATACTTGTTGGAGAACCTTCCAGAGAAGACATGTCATCAAGTCTCCATCTGTTTTTTTTTTTTTTTAATAACATTTTTTTTTAAAAAAATCTTTAATATTAAAATAAAATTATTAAAAATTTTATCACTGGATTTCACCAAGTGAATTTCTTCCATAATAATAATATAAAAACTAGGTTTTGAGTCCAACATAAATCAAATGGTAAGAAAAAGTCTACACGATGAATGACAGAATTTAAGGATTCAGAGCACTCAAGGACTCCCCAGTTGTACTAACTACTAACAGCCTAGGATCCTCCATGAACAACACGGAGAGGACACTTCTTAAGCATTGAAGTAGCAGGCTGTCCTTGGACCTGTTTACAGGAGAACTGCATCTCACCTTAAAAACGACAGAAATTATTGAATACGGCGAGCCTGTGGGCATCATTGAACATGCAAGCGAGTTTTCAAACTTCCTTTCAAGACAGATCTATAAATGGTTCTGGGGAAAATGAATAATGAGCATGCTATCAGCTCTATTTCTGTTCTTGTCACTCTCTGCATGCTACACATGGTGGGTATGAAGGCAAGTCAGGGCTGGGTCCCCGAGCCTGAAGGGTCACTATACAAGGACTTGACCATCTCAGGTGAATGGATTCTACCCATCAACATCTACTTTACTAGTTGACAAATTAGCCAACTGGGCACGGAGTGAATTTGACCTAAACTTCTCACACTTCCATGACATTATAGTAGCAAGTAACTAAGGACAAACCGGGAAGGTTTCAAGAAGTGAGAAAAAGAAAGGGGCTCGTCTTGATGGCCAACATCAACATGTGATATCACAAAGGACAAATTGGGAAGAGAAATCAATAGATTTGGGATAGAAAATTCAATTTACAATCTGACACAGAGCAAGAAGTGCTTCTTGAAGTTGTTTTCAATTCAAAGATTCAAGTAATGCTGCAGGGCCTTTTGGCCTTTCATCCATGTTGTACACCTCAAAAATCACACCAGCTTGAATAGTAAAGCCAAAGAAGTTAAAGAAATCATCATTATATAAAAGAAAAACAATCGCCATAAAGATGAACCAAGCTACCAAAAGTAGAAGTACAAAATGTTTCAATCCAGGAATACTATTTCAGTTACTACCATTGCCGCATTATTTGCATCATATTATCATTTTTGTTGGTTTTAATCCTCACACAGCCTCTCAAGCTTCTCGTCTTCTTGTTTTCCTTGCCATTTAGGCAACCTCACTCACTGATACTAGTCTATTGCCTCGTCTTCCCATTTTCTTGATACTTCAGCTATATATTCTTCTACGTTTCCCTATATGCCACTGTAACCCTCGTCTCTTTACCCCTCTTATGCTATATATATATATTCTGTTTATCCTCCCTTTTAACGTTCCCATTCCTATATATATATATATATATATATTAACGTTCCCATTCTTTTTCACCGCAGTCAGCTACCTTTCTTTTTGCTCTGGCTTTAGACGCACATCTATTCTTTACCTAGTCCTACCGCTTGCTCTCATCTTGGTTGTGACTCTCTCCCTCTCTCTCTCTTTCATATTACACCAGCTCTCTCTCTCTCTCTCTCTCTCATATATTACACCAACTGTTCGTATTCATATTTCCTTTCATGGGGACCTTAGAGGAAAGATTAAACGAGCAGTTGACACCAGTAGTCCAGCCGCCACCAACAGTGGCGAAACCAAGCGGCAATACAAATCATTCGATCGAAACCCTTGTTGTTGTCTTAGCTGTGATCACTATAGCAGCTGTTATTGCAGGGATTCTTGCACGGTTATGCGGTGGGCGACACTTTGGCGGCAATGGAGAGCATGACATAGAAGGTTGGGTAGAGAGCAGATGTAGGAGTTGTATTGATGGTGGAATCCCCGCCGCGCCACCCCCGCCAGCAGAGGCAAAGCCAGCAGCGGCAGCAGAAGAGGCAAAGAAGTGAATATGGCCATAGAAGTGCAGAACTAAGGCATCATAGCAGAAAATATCTTGGAATATTATCACATATTAACATTGTTTTAGCTTAGTAGAGAGTGATTACGCTTTTACTGCTTCAGTGGAGTGCCATTCATCATCATATGCTAAGTATCATTTAACAGAACAATTAAAAGGGATGTCGAGTAATGATTTCAGCAGAAACTTAATAGAGTGTATGCCTTTTTATCTTCAATTAGACTGATCAGTTTGCAGTTTTCTCAGTTTCCTTTTCTCTTTCCATTAGACCGAGTCTATCTCTCGAGTTCGGTTAAAAGTTAGGCCATCCATGCCAGAACAAGGGGATTCATACGCACTTCATGGCGTAATGCACGCACCGGATTTTCCACTAACTTTCTGCAATAAATAAAGGGAAGCAACATCATAGCAAACAGAAGTAATGCAAACAATTTCACTGTAAAAGCAGAGAGAAACTTTTTCACAATCTGACCGTTGCTCTTTTAAAAGCTAAACCTCTTGCAAGCTATATTATATGCTTGCATTATAAAGCTTTTAGCGTGTGACCGTTGCTAGTTTTTCTAAAGAAATATTTATAAACAAAAGTAAAGCCATCAATTATGAGCGACTTTGAGTTTCTAATGAAACCATGACCTTTCTCCAACAGAACTTAAAATCAGGAACTCAATGCTGGAGTTCCAAACCCACTATTCTATTGCTTCAAGAGTCATTACCATTTCAAAATATAATTTAAAAATTATATCATCCTACATTCTTATATTTATATATGTGTAATGTGGTGTTGGCCTTCCTTACGTGTAGTGATAAGAAAGAAATTAAGTCTCGAAGTCCTAAAATTACAGTTCTAATTTTAACACCGTACTGAAATTAATATGATTTTTTTTTAATAGGAGCTAAATAGACCTAGCTAATTAAAATCAAATCAATTAAAAATTCTGAAACTTAATCAGTAATGGAAAAATTACTAGGAAAAATAAAGAAATTCCAAAAAACAACTTTCAGGTCTATTTGGATATGATCCCGGATCCAACTAGTGCTAATTGATCAACTCATAGATAAAAACCACATATATAGAATATATTTGTAAAATTTCAGCTTGATTTAATAATCAGATCCAAAACTATGCTCATCTTCCTAAGAAATCTCGTTTAACTCATCCAAACTTCTTATTAGATTTGAATTTGTTGATTCATTCCATGAACAATCTGCTAAACTTTTCTTGTTACGCTTACTGCATCACCCAGTCATTCCTCAAATATAACGAACCAATTTC